ATTTATGAAAAAACGGTAAATATATCTCTCCTATGACCAACTATATCTCTCCTATGACCAACTAGGCATCTTTTCCAACTTTTAGCCTTAGTTCAGATTAGTTCAAGTGGTCAGATTTGCCATGAATGGTATCGCTTAGTGGTTATGGAAGAATGGCTTGTTTGCCACTGGCAGCACCCATTTCAAAATCAAAAGCCAAAAGAACCCTTCCCTTCTTGTGCATCTTCTTTGTACTTTTTAAATTCCATTTTCAATTCATCCAGAAGTGGTGCCATTGTATAAATTTTTAAACAACCACCCAGTTGATTTTAGTCATTCAAATATAATAACCAAAAATCCAAAGATCACCAAATAATCCAAATACACACAAGCTGTTTCTTTTTTGCTCTTTTTTTCACTTTCTTTTCCTGGGGTTACTATTTAGTTGCAAAGTTTCAGTTAAAATGTATCTTTTAGAAGTCTCGTTGAAGTTTTACTGTAGATTCTTTTTAATTCCAGGCAGTCTCCTCCCTCTTCCAGATCCTGCCCTTATTCTTTTTCTCTCCCTTCCTGCTTATGAAAAAGAAAGTTTTTAATGTCCAGAAATCTTTGTTATCCCTTTGACATTTTGTTTTATTTTCAGCTTAATTGCCTATTGATGTCAAAGCAGATTTTTCTGATTTCTTATTTAAGTCTCTTAATTGTCAGTATAGGGAAGGAGAGAGAAGAAAAAAAAGCGCCAAACCTTTCCCTTTTCACTTTCCTTCGCTGCTTCCAACTCTTCTTTGGGAGCGATGTTATTTTTTATAAGTTTAAATTCCAGGGTACCTTGGTTGTTGCTTTTACAATTTAACCCGGTCAGCCAAAACTTTCACTTCTTATCTTCCTCCTGCACATTCTTTTCCGGTCGAGTTCTTCTTCGTGGTGGCCATTTCTGACCACCGCTGCAACCGCCTTCGGGAATGGCCAGCTGAGGAGGAGAGATGCGGCTCTCCTCAACCCTGCTGGCGGTCTCCCCCCTCTTCACCACCTCTACAGGGTGGCTTAGCCCTGAAACCAGCCGGCTCAGGGAGCTCCAGCGGCGAGCCCAGACGGAAACCATGCATGATCACGGATTCCTGCTTGTCACCGAAGCCCTTCAAGCCAGAAGTCATCGCAGTGAGAGAAGATTTTTTACTTGTCACTTGCACATTTTAGATTAGGTAGCATTCCTACCTGCTATTTTTTGCAAAGAACTTCATTTCTCCTTATACCCTTTTCTTGCAATACCTGTTTCCCTGCCCATAAGAGTTTGTACTCTGAAAGACATTAAATGCTATCTGCTGCTGAGGTTTCCTCCCTGACTCTGTAATAAATGCACTTTCTCCACCCACTTCTTTTCTTTTTCACATTGGAGGAAACCATTCATCACCTTGGGCCGGGCAGGGAGTGGGGAAGAAAGGCAGAATATATGGTTTTCCCCCCCTTGTTATCTGCAGTGCAGTTTTTCTGCTGGAAGACAGCTGATGTAAGAAAGTACTTATTTGCTGTTCCAATTGTTAGTTCTTTGCTAAATTCTCAATCATGCACACACACCATTCACACCCATACAGCTAAGATACTGCCTACTAAAAGCAAAAAATACCCCAAAGGGGCCAAAAAAAGCCTCCTTGCAAAGAGCAAAGGTCTTACCCCTTACCCCTAGGTAAGGCTGGATTTTGCACTCTACAAAAGAGGAGGAAGAGGAGAAGGAGAAGAATTTGACATTTTTTGTCACAGAGCAAAGCCCAGCATGACCAAGAACGTTTGGTAAATGTTACCAATTTTGAATTATTATTTTTACAGTCAAAGTCCAACCCAGTTTGATCCATTTTTTTTCTTCCAAACTTCTTTAGAATATAATGGTATTTTTAAAAGTAACCTTACATACATTTCAAGGGTCTATAATCAATTAGTTAACTGAAGGATGGTAAAGCATATACTGGGGGCTACCAGTACACAGATTTAGCAAAAAGCAAGGTATAATAATTCTACTTTTGTGATGTGCAATCAGATCATTGCAGTTTTGCAATGCTACTAGAAAAATAAAGACTTGCCAAAGTTGAGCTTGACTGGTTATCATACAGAAACGCCCAACAGATTTTTTAATACCCTTTTTGAAATAAGTAGCGGCAAAGTGCAGAAAAGGAAAGAACAGATAAATTAAGGAATGTTGGATGAATTTACCAACACCATTCATTGCATCTCTCCAGCCTTTTCCACCTTTGCAATCCATTGCTGTTTCTCCCAACTCCATGCATTGCCCCTTTTCTTCAAGCTTCTCACCTCTTTTTGAAGAACTTATCAGCTCCATCCAACCACAGGTTTCTCACCCTTCCTCTCTTCTCTTCTTACTCAAACCAGTTACTCTTGCTTCAAATCCTTGTTTTGTAATTCAGTTCTCCTCCTCTATTTGAGTTCAAATATTGACTTTATTTAAATCCATAGACCTTCTGTTATTCAATGATTGATACAAATGATTCTCAAATGATAGCTTGTTATTTCATAGCTTCCCACCAGATGGTGATGTTTAACTTTTCTGCACTCTAAAAAAATCCCACTTCAATGAGGATTTTTTGGGGGTGGGTGGGGGGGGGGGCAGACTATTCACTTTTGCGTTCAAATTAATACTCACCAAACACCAATCCCATTCATTTGTGGGTTTCTGAACAGCTTATTTTTTTGGTACCTTCTCATCTCCTTCCATCTACATTTTCATGTCACCATACATGCATGTGTGTGTATTGCATATATGTGTTTGTATGTATACACACACATCCATACACACACACACACACACACACACACATGTATGTATGTATATGTACACACACACAATTTGATGTACCAATATAAAAAAAGGATGCACCTATAATTCCAAAGAAGAATAACTCCACTGTATTTTAGACTAGTTATTCCACACATTTATAGTAAGTGGGACTACTATCAGTTGAGTCGTGACAATGTATATTATTATTATATGCAAGTTTGCAGTGGTACTCCTGTTATACAATGTAACTAAATCATGTTCTGTTATGCTTATGCTATATTATAGTTGCATCAAAACAAGTCCTGAGATAGTTTGATGCATATATCACAGATTCTGTGTTTTATAAACTGTAAACATCATTAGATGTGGTATTTTTAATTTTGAAAACAAGATGAGTGGCTATGTAGTGGCACAGATAAGAGTTGTGGTGGCAGTGTTTAGAATGCAGTATTGCAGATTGACTCTGCCCACTGTCAAAAGTTTGATACTGACTGGCTCAAGGTTGATTCAGCCTATCCTTCCAAGGTTGGTAAAATGAGGACCTAGATTGTTGGGGGCAATATGTTGACTTTGTAAACAGTTTAGAGAGGGCTGTAAAGCACTATAAAGTGGTATATAAGTCTAAGGGCTATTGCTACTTCACTTGTGCCTGTTTAATTATTTCTGATATTGCCAAACAATACATCAAACAATGAAAATTCCAGACTTCAAAAGCTTTTAACAAAGGTCGTTTCTGAACTGAGTTCAGTTGGATGGATAGGATTGACCCTAGAGGTAAGAAAGGAGGAACTCAAGTGTATAGATTCTTAGATATTTTTCTTCTTCCCTGTTTCCTCGGAGATTATTCCCCATAGATGTTTTGAGAAGGAATAAGGAGAAAGTCAGAGAAACAAAATATTTTATTATTTTAATAATCGGTACCTTCAAGTACATAACAGTGCATATGAACTTACTTTATGTCTATGGAGATTCTTAGTTATCCAGGTCAAAGGTGTCCCAACGGTGTTTTTTCAAGAGGCAACTGGACTTCTTCGTTTTTCCTTGAAGACATTTTGCTTCTCATCCAAGAAGCTTCTTCAGTTCTGATAGAAGAAGTTTCTTGGATGAGAAGTGAAATGTCTTCAAAGAAAAACAAAGTCCAGCTGCCTCTTATTTTATACTGTCAGTTAAGTTAGGCTGAGAATTCTTGATCCAAAACAATCCTTGTTTCCTGCAATTACTCTTTTTAAATGGTATGTGGCGTCAGTCCATGATATATACATAGAAATATGTACAGTAATGGAAGAAAGCAAATCCTTTTAAATCTCTCTCTATACATAGAATCCTAACATTTCCTTTTAAAGAGTTTTTCCTCCTAAGCAGATTTATGAAAAACAACTACTATGTCTGTTAACATCCAATTCTTTTGACAAGTTGTAAAAAACACATTAGTCCATTCACAGAAAAATTGGATTATAAAAGTCACTTGAGTAGAAGTTGCCCTTACTATGACACACTTACTGGTCTGAAGTGTGTTATATTTCATTCCCTCAGAAGGAGTTTCTGGGCCTGAAATTTTTATCCAATTCTGTAAAAAATTGATTAATAGCAATTAAAGAAAGTTCATCAAAATCAGAGAAGTGGAAAGGGAAAGAAATGCTGAGTTTACCTTCTTGCTCTGGGCAGGAATCTAAATTAAAGCATTTCTGATAGATGATGTTTTCGTCTGAATACATCCAGTAAGTTGAATACACACAACTTAAGAATAAGTTATTGTTTCCCCAAATAATTGGTTCCACTGCCAAGTGGTACTGCCAGTCAGAAAGGCTTTTCTTTCCTCTAACAGTGAATTAGAAACTTTCCTCCTGTAACTTAAATCCATTATTTTTTATCCTGCACACTGGAGGAGTAGACATGGGCATGACAGGGGAAGGATACTGTAAAATTCCCATTCCCTTCCCACTCCAGGGGAAGTTTATTGCAAAATCCCATTCCCTCCCCACCCCTTTCCAGCTCCGTTCTCCTGTGCAGGGCAACCAAAGAAGACCCAGCCAATCAGCTGGGACTCGGGAGGCAGAGAATAGATGTGGGGGTGGGCCCAGTTAGAGGTGCAGAGCTGGTATTCAGCAAGTTCGCTACCAGTTATCCAGAACTGGTCAGAATCTGCTGGATCTCTGCTCTTTACATTCTTCCTTGAAGATCTAGTAGTTTCTCTCTACCTGCTACCTGTGTCCTTTTTTTTGTTGTTTTATTATTTTTGTTTTGGATAGTCATAAAGCTTTTTGGCAATCACATATGAGCCATCTTCTCTTTCTTCCTCTCAGTGGTTAATGTTCAGTCAAGGATAGCAAATCTTTTTGTGCCTTTTGAAATTAAAAAAAAAGAAACATTATTGCCAAAGGCCAACAATAAAATCATTTCTAACTCCCACTGAAAATGAACATTGTTAGCAAAAGAAGCCAAAACTTTTCCTAAAGGATCATCCTTGGCAGAATTCATCTATCAACAGTTAGACAATTACATTCTTCCATGTTAAATTCCCCAAATTAAATAATGGAATTTCTAAATTATTGAAATTTTAATTAAATTAACTAACTTAGGGGAGAGAGAGAGAGAGAGAGAGAGTTAGCTGTATTTATTAAGCATGTCACTGAGCCCCTTTCCATTGAAAAGTGTACCTTCAAATCATAAACAATTTTAAAGTAGACTGATGCAATCAGAACAACTTAAATGCATATTTAGAAAGAAAATTAATCAAATATAACTGTTCAGAACTTAAATGAAAGTCCACTTAGTTAGGTGTGTGGAATAATTTGTGGTCAGTGCAATGAAAGCATGATGACATTTAATTATGTTAATTAACTAAAGAAGCCAATAAGACAGATGAATTCCCATAATAGCATGCTTTTAAAAAACAACAAAAACAAAATCATGATTTTTCTCACCACCTTATAGAAACTTGTTTGCAACTTGATTTAATAATTTTCCATTTTCAATATTTAACTTAGAGTTCAAAGAACCAAAACAAAGTTATTTTTCCTATATGTGTGTGGTACAATCCTGTAAAAAAAAAAAAAAACTCAGCTTCTACTATAATAAATGTGATTATTGAAACTGCATTAGATGGAACTATTGGAAATAGTTAATTCTTCAACCAAAGTCACAACTCCAACTATGTTAGGTACTTAATCTGGATCATCCAGTTATGAGTGTAGGCAACTTGACTCATAAGTAGCATTGTGTCTATTTTTGATTTATGGCTAGCTATTCCTAATGTATTCTTAAAGCAAACTGTGCCTGTACTTGCTTATTTACTTCTACATTCATACCTATCTGGCTATACACTATTACTTGGTAGTGCTTGGGGTAGGAGTGGATCAGGGGTGTCAAACTCAAGGCCTGGGGATCAGGTGCGGCCCATGGGGTGCTTAGCTTTGGCCTGTGGAAACAGAGAAGGACTGGCCCTGCCAGTGAAAATGGAGCTCAGGAGGGTCACATATGGCCCTCCCGAGCTCCGTTTTCGCTAGCAGAGGGTTGCATCTTAAAATGGAGTTTGGGAGCCTGTTTTCATTGGCAGAGGGCTCGGGCTGCCACTGATACCCCTGACACAAATGACATCGAACTGGCCATGTCCACCCAGGCCATGCCCACCCGGGCCCCCTAAGGTCAAACACAACCCTGATACACCCTCAATGAAATCAAGTTTGACATATCTGGAGTGGGGAGTCTATGCTTGTTCCCCAGACATTGCTTAAATACATTCTCCAATTGGTCCCAAAAGCTCCGATGTGCAGTTAATTAGCATCAGGAAGTAAGATTTTGAGTTAGGGTCAACTCCTGATTATTATTTCTTTTTCTTTTCCTAAAACAACAACAACAATATAGATATTTCTTTTCTCCTGTATGGTTTTTTTTTTTTTTCAAATTCCCAGCTAGGCCTTTTGAGATCAGCCAAAGTTGATTAGGTGCACTAAACAAGTTTTTTTTTTAAATGTTTCTCCCACACTGAAATGCAGACAACTAGAGAATAGTATAGAATAGAATAGAATACCTTTATTGCCATTGCATTCTACAAATTTGAAAGCTACTCCAGCACAGTGTCCCAAACACCACATCACAATCACACTACAGAATATTTAAAAATTAAAATGATTAAAATAATAATTAAAAACCTAGTCTAAAACCTATCTAAAAATATAGTTGAATATAGATGGCATAGGTGGGTGGAATAGGTGTAATCCCAACTATTTTGACCAAGGTAACTTGGTAAAAATAATGCTTTAGGTGGACTTACCTTTAAGATATCTCATTGGGATACCTTAAAGATGGAACATTTGAATAATGTATTTTGCTCTCTCTCCCCGCCCTCTCCTTTCTCTTCCATATTGAACTACTGTTCCAACTGCCCTTTGACCTGCCCTTTGACCTGCTGTTAACATGTACAAACTTCATTTCATCTCTCCATAAAACTAGGCAGATTAAACATGGGACTCATATAGAGAATGATTATGGCATTATTATATAGGAAGTGAAAGCTTTTTAAAGTTCCCTACCTGCATGCTTTTGTCTGAAGTTTCATTCCACTCTCCTTAGCAATATAGTTAAACTGTATGGTTGTTAGTTTTATCATTGCGGTTGTTTGCAAACCTCCTTAAGTCAACCACTTTTTTACTGCTTCACTGACAAAGTGTGCCAATACCTTGTCTGTTGTAACTTGTACAGAGTTGTGAGAGCTTGCAGGAAGTGAACACACACTTCTACTTTACTGGGTGGAGCCTCTCATTCTGTGTCTGATTAAGAAAGCAAGCGTGGGAAGAACATAGGGAACTTAAAGAAAATGTACAGTCTTTGGGATAGTTTGCTCTTCACCATATTCAGCTAAAAAAAGGCTTTGTGGATCACATTTTAAAGATATTTAATGAAAGGATTTCAAGTGGCAGCAAAAGGAAAAACATGGGGATACTATATTCACAGGTAAGTACCCTGTAGCCACTTACCACTATTTAAATGGGCTTCAACAGTAGCTATTATGCACCACATCCAGTTTGATATGTATTCAAAGGGGTTGGTTTTGCTTTTATGAAATTCAAGCAATTCTATCAAGTCTGAGAAATTGCATCTTTATGGGGAATCAGTTGCTAATGAAATAATCAACAGTTTTCCATAAAAATATGAATTGAATTGAATTGAAGTGATAAGGGAAATATTTGAAACAGGGTTGTGTGGCTTATGGAAATCAGAAAAGGTGTGACCTCTTGATCCCTTGATCAAGTTTGGAGCTGTTGGTTAAAGTTGGTGGTTGGAGATACAGCAATGAATGTTCTATCAAGTGCTTGCTTGTTACCACTAAGAAAAAAAAAACAGATTTACCTCTTCAGTATCTGTATAAATTGGTGAACGTTCTAGCAACAAATCTAGTCTTTTTTAAGTATAAGAAAGGGAATTAAAATAGAGCTAGATATTTAAAACATATGCCAGTCCCTAAAAACAGTCCAATAAGGACAGAACATGTTCAAAGCACTCTACCAGGAAGGGCATGGTGAATTTGAGTTAGCAAAGAAAAATGTGTAAACACCATAATGAAATATCTTGCTTCATCACCCTAACTAAAAGGTTCAGTTTACATTAGAAAGTATGAGCAGTATCTAAAACAGAAACTTTCCTCAGTGATTATAAGTATATTGCCAAAACCTCTTCTAAATTCCTGTGTCTACATTTAATCCCAAACTTGATTATGTGCCATCAAGTATGTGTTCACTCTTATCAACCACAATGATCTATTTTCTTCCTGATCCTTCAAGTCTTTCAATGGTGCAAACATTATTGCTTTCACTGAGTCTTTCCTTATCTCCTTGTTGTCCTCTACTTTCTTTCTACCTTTCCCAGAATTATAGACTTGTCCGGAGCTACGTCTTTGCACAATATGTTGTATATTAATATATATTTGTATAATTTGTGCCTGGTTATTTGTGCTTTAGGTGAGGACTCTGATTATCCATGATATACTTGCTATAGCTATATTTGGCTATCCCTGATATTCCCAGGAGTCTTCTGCAATAATACAGTTCAAAAGTATCCTTCCTCTTCAAAATCCAACTCTCACTTCCGCAGAGCCTTTTCTGATTACATCAAACTTGCTTACAGAAGAGTAAACCAGTATGTGTAGTTTGGGATTTTGTAATGGTACAGTGTGTGGCAATGATCTTGGGAGATAAGAGGGAGACCCCCAGCCTGATAAATTAAATTTTAGTCTAAAAGAGGAGGGATAGTAAAATAATATCAGAAGGAACCATCTGTAGTATTTAGGAAAGTAAAAATGAAGGATGGAAGAGGTACTTTCAGATTAGCAAGATTCTGCTAATGCAATTTTACATTAAAGTTTAAGTTAAAATTCCTGGCTGTGCTTCTTACCTGGATTACCTCACGAGGCTAATGGATACAACTCTCTGTCATTGTTCAAGAAAAATGAATATTACATGTAAAAACGTCTTATCAAAACTCTGTATCTAGGGGAGAAGATAACTCTTTGTTAAAAGTAAATAGAGAAAATGCAATTTGGATTCGAAACCCACCTATCTATAAACAAAGGGGTTTGTAGTATAAGCACATCCAGTTGAACTGCATTCCATTTCTGAAATAATTTGGATTTCTGAATTCTTCACCTGGGTTATTGTGGCTTTTGCTCATCCACTGTCTTGAAATGCAAAATGAAGACGTGCGGTGATACCGAAGCACAAAACATTCTTCTGAAACTCCTTTATATCACACATTCCCAGGCAAAAGAGAAAATCAGGATGATATACATGCCCTCTAAATTAGAGGGACCCACACATGGCTTGTGTCATCATAATGCAAGCGCCACCATTTCATATTAGCGTCATGACAAGGCACATTAATACATAAAGAATGGAGTTTATTTTGCATCTTTAGGATATCCCAACAGTGGAAGTTTTAAAGAAGAGATTGAACAACCTTTTGTCTGAAATGTTATAGGGTTTTCCTTCTTGAGCAGGAGGTTGGACTAGAAGACCTCCAAGGTCCCTTCCAACTATTCTATTCTATTCTATTCTATTCTATTCTATTCTATTCTATTCTATTCTATTCCATTCCATTCCATTCCATTCCATTCTATTCCTTCGGGGCTTTGCCCTTCTCTCCCATTCTCCCGATGCCTGTGCCACCAATATATCTTTATATCATGGTATATAAAAAATAGCCAGGATAAATGTTATTTTATTTTTCTTTCTGTAAGAACACACTATCGAAAAATGCTGCCTCGAAGCAGTGTCATCAATTCATTTAGAATATTTACAGCTGATCCTTCAGAAAAGTTAGCTCCCTTTAGATTTTCAGGTGGCCCTCGACTTAAAACTACAATTGAGCCCAAAATGTCTGTTGCTAAGCGAGACGTTAAGTTAAACTTACCGCATTTTATGGCCTTTTTTAGCACAATTGTTAAGTAAATCATGGCAGGTGTTAAGTTAGTAACACGGTTGTTAAGGGAATCTGGCTTCCCCATTGACTTTGCTTGTCCAAAGTTTGCAAAAGATGATCACATGACCCCACAGGACACTGCAACCGTCATAAATATGAATCAGTTACCAAGAGTCTAAATTTGATCATGTGACCATGAGGATCCTTGCAATGGTTGCAAGTGTAAAAAATGGTCATAAGTCACTGTTTTCAGTGCTGTTATAACTTTGAACCATCACTAAATGAACTGTTGTAAGTCAAGGTCTATCTGTACAGTTCAAAATGGGGTAACCCTACCCTAAGAGGATGGAGAAGGAAAATGGGAAAACTGAGGCACAGGTTCTTAACACTTGGTGGGATTCTATAATTGCCCACACAATGGCTGCACTGAAAGTTATTACGACAATTAAATTGGGTTGAAATAACTCATAGAATCAATGAATTCCAGTCTCTATATTTGCCTTTTATGTAGTTTCCTCTTTTCTTTTTTTCACGCAGATGGATAGTCCATTTTGGACTGAAATTATGTAATTTTTGAAACCTAAGTATTATAGGCTTGAGAGGGGAAGGAGGTATGGACTTTTACCTTTTGATTGGTTATGATAAAATAACAACAGTTCTCACCTCACCTACAGCCTTTTTTATTAGCCTTTTGTTAGACAGTTTACATTCCTTAGAGGGATGCCAATTTGCATTCTTTAACAATAGAAGTCAGCGCTCTTTGTATTACACAGCCGATTAGACTTAGAGGTTTTTGAAGCAACCCAGTCTATGTGTATGAATTGGAGACTACAATATCTTTTATGTCATGCATTGGTCAGCTTATGCCTCGTGGGAAGCCATGCCAAACTTGCTGCGTACTTTCAAAGAACCATTTGCCATTGCTTTTTCCAGGATGTATCTATCCCCTCCCAATCAAGGGTACATTCTTGATTATTTCTTGATGGTCTCTCCTCCAAATACTAACCACCTCTAACCCTGCTTAGGTATCTTTTTTTTTCAAACTCATCTTAGGTGCTGCCATTTGCATTAGTTAACTGTGATGGACTTCATATTATGATCAAGTTTACAGTTTGCAACAGCAATTATTCCCCAAACGACTCAAGAATTCTTATTCGGAGAATGGATGCTAAAGCATGGAGATCTCATTGTATTCTGCATACAGCTGGGGAAAAAGATTCAGGGAAAAACAATGGTGATTCCTAACTCAGCAGTCTTTGAAGCTGTCACACCAGGAGTTTTAGATTAATATAATTGTGATCTATTAGCACCACTTTGTGGATTTAATCTGGAACTGCAGTCTTAATGCAACACTTATTCAAGTTATCCCTAACTTTTAAAAACCATTTTACTTTATTTTAACATCCATATGAATTGATTCATTGCACATTTGTATCCAGTGTGATGCCTTAATCCTCCTGTGATGTTTCTAAGAGTGCTCATCAAGTGCTGTGCTCCACCTGATTTTATTTGATTTTAAAATAAAACAAAACGATGATATGGACCCCAGAGCCATTCTTTGGAAATAAAAATCAGGGATGTTGGCAGGTTTTTTTTAAAAAATTATTTTCTTGGTTTCACAAAGAATTTGGGGAAAGCTGCAATCCCTTTTCTCGTCTCCTTGGTTTCTTTATCTACCTCCAAAACTAGGATGATCCTACTTGGTGAAAAGTCAGTTTGGTGGTAATTGTTAAGGCATGAGGCTAAAAATTGGGACATTGTGATTTCTAGTCCTGCCTTAGGTGCAAAGTCAGCTGGGTGGCCAATCACTTTCTCTCAGCCCAAAGAAAGAGGCATTTTAGAGGGAAACGTTGGTATCAGGGCTTTGAAAGTAAAAAACTTTCTGAAGATCAAGTTATATATGCACAATAAGACCCATGGGTATTAATGTATAGAACCAGAGACACCAATTTGTTCTTCATGGAAGAGATCTCAGGCTTCTTTCAACTTAAAATAGTCATCTGTTGGTGAAAGTAAATTTACCTAGCCCGCATTAGAATTACAGGTAATCCACAACTTACGACCATGGTTGAGCCCAAAATTTCTGTTGTTAAACAAGACAGTTGTTAAGGGAGCTTTGTCCCATTTATTTATTTATTAGAATAAAATAAAAAGAATAAAAATACAATGACAGGAACAATAGACATGGTAGTGCACCTATGCACGCCCCCTCTACTAACCACTTAAGTATGATGTAAGGTCTGCAGAAGTCAATTTGTGACTGAAACTGTGAAAATTTGTTGCTGAAACAACTGAATCGGGTAGATCATTGCAGACTTTGACAGCTCTATTCCAGAAATCATATTTTTACAGTCAAGTTTAGAAGATTTACGCTGAGTTTGAAACAGTTGTCAGCACGTGTATTATTGCAATTGAAACAAAAAAAGTCATTTACAGGTAAAACATTACTACATATAATTTTGTATGCAATACCTAAGTCTGACCACAACTGACGCAGTTCTAAGTTATCCAAACTTAAGAATTAAGACTTGTGGACTCCAGCTTAGCTGGCTGAAGAATTCTGGGAGTTGAAGTCCACAAGTCGTAAAGTTGCCAGGTTTGGGGACCCCTGATATAGAGCAAGAAAAACGTGGGACCTAAGATGATGCCTTGCATTACACCCCTGTGTACTGATGCAGGATTAGACAGCAAGTTCCCTATTTTGACTTTCTGCAAGACATTTAGGATTTTTTTTTTGCCACTGTTGTTAAATGAACCACTACAGTTGTTAATAAAAGAGTTGTTAAGTGAATTTGGTTTCCCCATTTGACTTTGCTTATCAGAAAAAGGGATCACGTGACCTGGGCACTGCAACCATTGTACATACATGCCAGTTGCCAAGAATTTGAATTCTGATCAAGTGGTTGCAGGAATGCAGCAACTGTAGTGTGAAAAATGGCCCTAACTTTGAGCTTGTAGTGATATGCTACCTGTTTGGCCCGGTTCAGCTGAACTGGTAGTAAAAAAATGCCTCTGATGATCAGCTGAGAGGAAGAGAAAAGATCCTCTTGAGAGGAGGAAGAGAGAAAAGCTCAGGATCGGCCCACCCACGCACCCGGGTGCTTTTCTTTATCCTCTCAGCTGTTTGGTGCTGCTGGCCTCAGCTGGTGTGTGGAAAGCTGCGAACGCATTAGGTGCACGCACATTAGGTGCGCACATGTGATCACCAAACCGGTAATGGAACAGGTAGGATCCCACTGCTCTTTGAGCAGTCACTAAACAAACGGTTGGAAGTCGGGAACTACCTGTATGTTGAAAAAAATGTGTGCGCTATAATCCAAAAAGGTGGATGAATGTGATGAAGTAACAACCCACAATCCACTTATCATTTTGTCTTAAAATCTGTTCAAACTACCTACTTCTCTCTTTCTTCCCCTCAGCCCATTTGCCAGGCAGCTTATAATAATGATTTCAATGAACTTCAGCTCCTCTTGGAAGAAGATAGAAATAATCTGAATATCCAGGACTACTTTGGTGGAGACACGCCGTTAATCTGTGCATGCAAAAAAGGGCACAATAGAATCGTCAGTTACCTTCTGAAAATGAATGCTGATGTGAACATAAAAAATAAGGTGAGAGCAGCGACGGCAATAGGACCTCTTCTTAGGTTGCTAAAACCAGGACTCATGAAGAAAGAGAACAGAGGAAAGATGTGCTAGCTGAGGAATTCTGGAAGTTGAAGTTCACACCTCTTATAATTGGCAGGTTTGAAAAACACTGCTTTAAAAGCTTTGGGGGCATGTAGGTTTACTTTCTGAGTTCTGAAGGGTGAGGCAGGAAATCCAGACATAGAAGCGAAATGAGGAGATGTAACTAATGTTTTTGTAACCTATATCTTTGTTCATAGATAAGATATGAGAAGAAGATATCATTTGCTGTATTTTAAGAGAAGGCTGCTAAAATTCTTTATATGTTGTGAGGAAGGAGAAAGTCATTTCTTTTCTTTTTTTTTCTTATATTCTACTACTACTACTACTACTACTCCTACCATGTTTCTCCAACAATACGGCCTCCCCCAATAGGAAGTCCCAGCATGTTTTATAGGCATAAAATCAAATTAAGCCCCTCCCCCCAAATTAAGGCCTATATTAAACATACAAAATGGGGGGGAATGGCGGGGGGGCTTGCCGTTAGGAAGTACTTTTGTTGCATACCCGGATATGGTGCTGCCTGCGTTGATTTTGGTGTTGGTAGGGCACTTTGTATCAGGAGACCTTCCGCCACTGTTGCTTTCCCTTCTCCCCGTGCTGCTGTGGAGCAATGCGTTTGGCGCAGCCACGTGCGGCCAGCCAGGGCTCCTCACTGCAACTGGAGCCCGGTGGAGACACTCGGCTTCAGGTGCTCCTGTTGCCGCCTTCCCTTCACTTTCGAAGGCAAAGCCAATTCTCTCTGCAGCGGAGAGAGCCCGAAGCCACCTGTCCTTTCCACCCCTCGCCCAGCCCGTCCCCATGCATCTCCAAATGCGCCGGCAGCTCCAAACACTGCAGTGGCATGGGCATCAGGCAGAGGTACAGGCCGTCGCCTTGCCTCCCTGTCCACGGATGGGTGGGTGCTATCACTGCTTCAGGCGGCCTCTCCTGGTGCCCCTTTGGGTTCAGGCTGGAGGGACTTGGGAAGGAAGCCAAGCTCAGGTCGCCCCAGCTCTTTCACTTGGCAGGTGGGTGCACACCTGCGGCTCGCTTTCCTGGCTCTGCCCAGCTTGCACGGCTCTGGCGCGGCCCTGGCAGGATGAGCGGAGGGCCCAGCGGGGAGGCGCTCACTGCCTCGGCTAGAGCTCTGCCTCTGGGCAGGAGGGCCTGCCTGTCAGCAGCACTGGGCACCCAAGGCGAAGCTCTTCACACTGTGACCAGCACCAGGCAGGGATGGCAGCTGGGCACTTCTCCCGGGGTGGGCCGATCTTGCGCTGCAGCCCTGGGAGATTCATCTCCCCACATGGGGTTGGGCTACCCTCTCGGGCAAGGGAGGCTTTGTCGTACTGTTAGTAGGGCATTGTTTTTAAAAGAATTGGCTTTGCCTTCGAAGGCAAAGGGAAGGTGGCGATAGGAGCGCCTGAAGCCGAGTGTCTCTGCTGGCCTCTGGTTGCAGGGAGGAGCCCTGGCTGGCTGCGTGTGGCTGCACCAAACGCTGTGGCGTTGCTCTAAATGCTGCAGCAGCACGGGGAGAAGGGAAAGCAATGGTGGCAGATATGGAGTGCCCCACCAACACCGAGGTCAACAGCCAAGCTGTCGCTGCCCGCCTGCTCGAGGATGCAAGGGGGGCAATTAAGCCACCCTCGAAAAGACGGCCTAGCCATTTTTTCGGGGCCATGAAAAAAAAAGAATCGGTCTTATTTTGTGAGAAACACAGTATTATTATTATTATTCCCCCCAAATAAGACCCTGTCTTATATATTTTTGCTGCCAAAAAAGGCACCAGGTCTTATTTTGGGGCGATGTCATTCACTGACTAATCTCACTTGTGTGCATCGCCCCCCGGCCTCCTTTTCACTGTCAGGGGCCTTCATGAACTTCTTCTGCAGCCAGCAAGGCTTTCCTGAAGGCCTCTGCAGCAGATAACAGAGCTCTGGATCTAGCTACAAAGGCCTTCAGGAAAGCTTTTCCAGCCTTGCTGGCTGCAGAAGAAATGGGCCAGCAAGGCAGGTGTCAGGGTGTGCGAGGCCTGGCTACAACTGTCCAAAGGTAAGTAGTAGGGCAGCTCCATCCCCCCATCCCCACCCTAGCTTAATTTTTACCTGTGCACCCTGGAGTGGGTGGGATCTTAATCAGGGCTTATTTTGGGGGTAGGGCTTATATTGGGCGCACATGTAAAAATCAAGCTAGGACTTACTTTCAGGGTAGGCCGTATTTTTAGGGAAACTGTATTATTATTGTTGTTGTTGATGGTGGTGATGATGGTTGCACAGTTAGTAGGTGTTTAGACTGGATGTGGCATTTTTATATTGGGTTCTTCCTAGAGATCTAGGATAGGGTGATATTGTTTGATGATGTGAAATATATTATCGCAGGATTATGAACTGTTCCAATTATAGCTGACTTTTGGTATTGACTGATGGTGATTTTGTCAATGTCAGCAGTGTTCAAGATGTTGCTCAAGCAGAGGTGCTCCAGATGTTTTAGAATTGTGCCTCAGGTGACTATTTGGACTATTTTTGCTTTTTTTGCTACAGTCATTTTATTTCTATTTGCAAGTCTTTGTATTTTGTGATTTTCCCCAGTTCTTTCTCTTCTCTCTCTCCAAGTACCACAACATTCACTAACCAGATTTTGTCCTTCTTAGAACAAAGTTGTGAAGTCTTGGATGTTTTGTGGAAGGTGCATGTATGTGTGAATTTGGGGATAAAATATCATAACCAGTGCTAGTAAATGTTGCACTTCCATGCAGGTTATTTTGATGTCTTGACTGGAAGCGGCACCTGAAACTATTTATTTTTGTTTTATTTATTTCATTTCTTACATTACCTGTCTTTTGGATATTAATGACTTTGTGCTCCAGATAGAATCCATAGCACCTTATTCGTTGGACTATTGCTGGGGTGTCAAACTCGATTTCATTTCATTCCACATCAGGGTTGTGTTTGACCTCAGGAGAGGCATGGCCAGGGTGGGTGTGGCCAGCTCAACATCACTCATATCGGGTGCCTGTGCCAGCCGGAGTGCTCTGCCAGTGAAAAAAGGTTCCTGAGCTCCATTTTTGGCTGTGATGGCTTCCTGCAACCCTTTACCAGCGAAAAGTGTGCAGAGTGGCAGCGGAGGCAATTTTTGGGACCTCAAGAATGGCCCCGTAATACCACTCCTCCATGGGCTGCATTTGTTGCCAGTCTGCTTCCAGGTGCAATTCAAGATGGTGGTGAATGTCTTCAAATGTCTCCATGGCATTGGGCCAGGTTACTTGAGGAACCATCTAATCTCACTGGAATTGGCCCATCTCACTCCTGCTGGCAGAGGAAGCATTCTGTGGGTCCCATCAGCCTGATAGGTTCAGCTGATGGGTCCAGGAGGAGGGTCTTCTCCTGCCCTCTAGAATATCTTGCCCTGTCCCTGATGTGATGTTGGCCCTGACCCCCCCCCCTATTGTAAGGACCTAAGGACAGCACTCTGCCAGGTGGCTTGAGACTCCAATGGAGAACAGCATAGTGTTTGAATAACAATAGATCCCACCTCCCCCTCAATTTACTCCTGCTCTTCCCACACGTCCTTATATTTTAATGTTTGATTTTAATTTACTTATAATTTAATGTGTGTGTGTGTGTGTGTGTAGTCAAGCAATTATTAGACAACAGGTATAAGTATAAACATGGTAATAAACACATGAAATGGATACAAACAAGAAAAAAGGAACAATAGGACAGGGACGATAGGCACGTTGGTGCACTTATGCACACCCCCTACAGACCTCTTAGGAAAGGGGTTAGGTCAACAGTAGACAATCTAAGGTTAAAGTTTTTGGGGTTTGGGGAAGAAACCACAGAGTCAGGTAGAGTATTCCAGACATTGACTACTCTGTTGCTGAAGTCGTATTTCCTGCAATCAAGTTTGGTGCAGTTTATCTTTAGTTTGTATCTATTGTTTGCTCTTGTGTTGTTATGGTTGAAGCTGAAGTATTCATTGACAGGTAGGACATTGCAATATATAATTTGATGTACCATACTTAGACTGAACCGAAGGCAGCGTAGTTCTAGGTAGTATAGGTCTAAATTTTCAAGTCTGGTGGCATAAGGTATTCTGCTACAAGTAGAGGAGTGGAGGACTCTTCTCGTAAAATATTTCTGGACTTTCTCAATTGTATTAATATCAGATATGTAATGCGGGTTCCAGTATTGGTCTAGCAAATGTTTTGTATGCTCTAGTTAGTAGTGTGATATTACCAGAGAATTACACGGGATTAGGTTTACAACTCTTAATGCTTTTTTGGCTATGTAGTTACAGTGGGCTCTAACACTTAGATCATTTGAGATGAGTACTCCAAGGTCCTTGACAAAGTTTGTGTCATCAACAAGATCTTGACTATTACGCTTGTATTTTATTTTCTGATTTTTTTTGCCAATATGTGAGACAGAGCATTTATTTGTTGAGATTTGAAGTTGCCATTTGTTTGACCCTTCTGATACATAGTTGTCTTTTTTAAGGGTAGCAGTATTGTCTGTGGTGTTGAATAGCTTTACAGCGAAAAGAATGCAGTTGCTCTTAATATGATCACATATAATGTACACATTAAATATATATACTTTGATTGTAACCCACCCAGAGTTACCCAATGGTAAGATAGGTTTATAAATAAATTTGTAGCCTTCAGAACTCCCTTTGGTTATGGAATCAAAATGTTTTAGTAAAATTCCAAGAATTGGCAGGGGGCTTTTGCTTTTAAGAATTATTTAAAGAGTTGTTACATTAAGATAGATCACAAAGATAGAAAATGATTAAAAATGTAAAAGAGATGCATTTATAAAGCCCCCATAAAAGTTGAGGTAATATTTGTATGTTGAGAAGTAAATTCCATGGTTATGGAGTAACCATGGGGAAATCTTGGCTCTGCTGACTTGTTGGAGCTAAGCTTTGTAGGATCTGAGTGGCTGGTGCTAATCAGCAAGGAGAAGGCATTTTTTTCAGCAGTCCTTGATTCAAATCGTTTGAGGCTTTATAGATAAAGAAATCAAAATGGCTGCAACATGGTTTCTATGGAGACACATCTGCTGCAACACTGTGTACCAGCTGAAATTCCAAAAACATGTAAGGGCAGCCCTATGTAGAACATAGTAGAGAAATAAAACTTGGATGTTATCTGTCAATGTATTACTCAGTGGTGGGATTCAATTTTTTTTTACTATTGGTTCTGTGGACATGGCTTGGTGGGCATGGTGTGGCTTAGTAGGCGTGGCAGGGAAAGGATACTCCAAAATGTAAATTGCAAAAATTAAATTAATTTTTATTTATTTTAAATAATTAAATAGAATTGTTCAATTGTCCTGCAGCTAGTTGGCCCATGGTGAGTTGGCCATGGTGAGTTGTCCTGCAGTGAGTTGGCCATAATGAGTTGGCTGCAGTGAGTTGGCTGTGGCAAGTTGACCCACAATGAGTTGGCCATGATGAGTTGGCCATGATGAGTTAGCTGCAGCAAGTTGGCCATGGCGAATTGTCCCACAACAAGTTGGCCATGGTGAGTTGGCTGTAACAAATTGGATGTGGCAAGTTGTCCCATTCCCACTGCAAGCTGATAACAATTCAGGTAGCTTCTAGTCTTTCCTTACTCCTTGTTATTATTGTCTCAACCAGGTGCTTCTTTATTTCCTTTTAACTGAGGGTAACTTTCCTGAAACCGAGAATATCCCCAGGGTAATTTCCGCTGTGGGAAAGCACCAAAAACCTTCCCAAACTGACATCAAACAAATTGCAAATAATTTAGGGTAAGTGGAATGAGAAATTGCCTTAAAACTTTTTCCTTTCTCTCTAGAAAGGAAGAACCTGTTTGCACTACGCTGTCAAAAAACGATTTGGTTTCCTTGATTATTTGCTCATCATACTTTTAATGCCCGTTATGCTACTAGGGTATCTTCTAATGGTAAGTTTCAGGTCAAACAAGTATCAAATGATGCCTACAGTTATATCCATATTTATTTATTTATTTATTTGTTTGTTTGTTTGTTTATCTATCTATTTATTTATCTGTCTATTTATCGATTTATCTATCTATCTATTTATTTATTTAATTTATATTGCTGCCTATTTGCCCATGGCAACTCGAGGAGGCTTACACAATGTAAAACCATATTTAAAAAAATAAAAATAAAAAACAATAAAAACTAACAAAAAGAATCAAATAAATTAGTAAAGTACAATAGAACATAATCTGGGAAAAACACACACAAAAAAGAAAAAACAAACAAAAAATATGCTCTGTTCTTTCTACCATCTAATTATGGTTGTCGCGGTTACATGTTTTAAGTTTAGATTCAACTCAGCAAGGCGTTTTGGATTCTAAGGGGACCATCATTCTCTTTCCTGATTCAAAGAGGTAACTCTGATTCATCTCGATGAAGCACTTCGTATCGTTTCAATGTGAAAATTAGTTCTTGCACAATACAGAGCCAACCACAGAACCACAGAAAAGGGAGTTCCTATGAAGAAATGTTTGTGGGATCACAGGGTGAATAATGGAATCGCTCACCCTGACTATGAATTGGGAAATTGCAATTAGGGGCATAGGATTAGATGCATCCTGAAAAATGTACAAGAGAAGGAGAGAGTCAGCTAATAAAGACCTTCTCTTATACATTTATTGGCTGAGAACATCTATGTTCTCTTAAACTTCCCCATATTAAACGTTCTCAAAAAATAATTAGGAAATCTGATTAGCTGCCAAGTTCTGCCCTAAGAAACTATGGATTATGCTAAGTCTGTTCAGATCTTTTCCTAATGTTTGCAGGATCACAGGATGCATCTAATCCTATGCCCCTAATTGCAATTTCCCAATTCATAGTCAGGGTGAGCGATTCCATTATTCACCCTGTGATCCCACAAACATTTCTTCATAGGAACTCCCTTTTCTGTGGTTCTGTGGTTGGCTCTGGATTGTGCAAGAACTAATTTTCACATTGAAACAATACAAAGTGCTTCATCGAGATGAATCAGAGTTACCTCTTTGAATCAGGAAAGAGAATGATGGTCCCCCTAGAGCCCAAAACGCCTTGCTGTGTTCCAATAATGTTCCCCCTTTTTTTTCCTTTCTCTCCCCTAAAATCTACTAAACAGGTTTCTAAAAGTAAGCAGAATGAACACCTCATCAAGATGCTACTTAGAGCTGGTGCATATGTCAATGCTCAAGATGACGTAAGTGCATCTATTCATGTAATCTAGATGACAGTTTGGGTGGTAGCTGGATGTGACCCATAAAAATCTTTTCATTTTCCTAAGGATGAGGCAGAATCATTTTCCCCACTTATGATTTCCCCTATATCAGGCCTGTCAAACTGGAGGCCTGGGTGGTGGTGGATGCATCACGTGTAGACCAGGCCCCCCCTGGCTCCACAAAGGCAAAAAATAAAAACACGTTGTGATACCTCACATGCCCTATATGGAGAAAAAAAACGGAAGGAATTGCTTCCTTCTTTTTGTTTGGAACCAAAGTCAGCCAGCTTAGATGAGGTCAATCAGGGTCAAGTAGATTAAAATATTACACCTTACCACCCTTTCAGACTGTCTCCAACTTTGCCATTTCCTAGGCCCATTGTTCAGCTGTTTTGGGGGCGGCGGGGGGGGGGGTTGTTTTTCTTCACACACAAAAAAGCAAAGCAACCAGGGAAAATAGGATCTAATTAGATGCAGTTGGCTGGCTGCCGGTTGTGTCTTTCCACTTATCAACTGAGTGGTTCAGTGTTGGAGAAGTACATCAATCAGGATGCTTGTGCCGCATGACAAAATTACCACAGAGGGTTTGAAGTGTGAGGCTTGTAGTTGTGTGAAAGTGCTATTAGATTTATATTTTAACAGTTTTACATGCAATAGGATAATTTAACATGTTTTCTCAAGAGCGATTATACAGAATGAGGACGTCTTCCAAATAACGCAGAGGTCTACTACCTAGCCATGTAGTTAGGTTGCAGGTACAGTTCTTAAAAAAAAAAAAGTGAAATAGCTTCTTCTTCATTAAAACCCCAAAGCAAAACGAACAGAAGAGTCCACGGAGACTTCAAACAGAAGAGTCCACGAAGACCTTTATAAAAGAATTGTGTCTCCTGAACAATTATGGTTTACTTCTGTTAGAACTTTGTGGTTTCACCTGCTCCAACTCTCTAATTAAAACCACACAATATTGCATAGTAGGGGTAAAACCTTATTTTTATTTCAGTTTGTATGTAGGGAATAATATAGGACTAGACTTTTGAATCTGTCCTGGTACAATATTGTACTCAGCTTCAGGATTATGATGGAATAATATGGTTTTTCAAATCATTTTAATGCAATTAAAGAATGCAGGTGAATACTTACAGAAAAAAATCCTAATTCTTGAACTAATTCAAAAACAATTAATAGGCTATGTAAATTCATCCTTGGTTGCAATTTAATGCAACATTTGAAGAAGTTGCTAAATTTCATTTTTACTATTGCAACCCAATGGAGACTGAGTTTATGAATTATGATGATTTTGTTTTGATATTTTTAATTTAATTTATTTTTTATTTTTTTAAGTTAACTTATTTTATTTATGGAGCCGTTTTGCAGCAGAGTCATACATCAATGGCCAATGTATAAATGAATGAAACAATAGAGCAAAAGTATAAATATATGATAATTCAAGAGCTTGCAAGAAATAATTCCTTTTTTAATTTTATACTTACTGAGAAGTATTTTAGGGTAAAGGTACAACTTATTCCTGAACAATATGTATTATGTTTTTCCCCCTCTAGTCAGGACAGACTGCCCTCCACTATGCTTGTGAAATGAAGAATCAATCCATCATTCCATTATTAGTTGAAGCAGGTGCTGACCTTTCCATAAAGGACAAGGTATGGTAAACTAGTCTTATTATGATTTTGATCTCTATCTCATCCTCTGTGATTTGGACTATTCCTCTACTAAGAAAGAGGAATCTATTTATGAACCATGGTGATGCAGTGGTTAGAGTGCAGTACTGCAGGCTGCTTCTACTGACTGCCAGTTGCCTACAATTTGCAGATTGAATCTCACCAGGCTCAAGGTTGACTCATCCTTCCATCCTTCCAAGGTGGGTAAAATGAGGACTCAGTTTGTTAGGAGCAGTATGCTGACTCTGTAAACCACTTAGAGAGGGCTGTAAAGCAGTGTAAAGTGGTATATAAGTCTAAGCACTATTACTGTTGCTATTTTAGAAAAGAAAAAAAGTGGGGCTCTTTTCTACCAGGGGCAGTACAGTGACCCAGTGGTTAAGATGCTGGGCTTCTTAGCTGGAAAGTTGACAGCCAGGGTAGAAGACCCAAATGCTGTGTGATGGGGTGAGCTTTCATTATCATCACCTCAGCTCCTGCCAACTTAGCAGTTCTTAACCATGCAAATGCAAGTAGATAAATAGGTACCACTTTGATGGGAAAGGTTTCTGTGTTCTGTACTTCCACACGGGCCACATGATGGCAGAAGCATCTCTCAGACAATGCAGGATCCCTAGCTGAGAATTGGAGATGAGCATTGACACCTTGAGTCAGTCACAACTGAACAGGAGAACCTTTAAACCTTCTTTTCTACCATTTTCCAACATTTTCCTCTTCTAGTTTGCTAATTGAGGAAAATGTGAATATTTGTATTATGAATTAATGTATTACAAGCAATTACATTTGGAGATTTTGATCCAGGTTATGTTGGCCAGAAATGGCTGATGTTCAAAACCACATGGAAAATGCCAACAAGCAAGAAAAGTAGCAAGAAAAAATAGCAAAAAGGGGCAAAGAAATGATAAAAAGGAATTAAAACTAGTTATGCAACATTCATAAATATTTTAAAAATTAATCTACTTACTATAGATCATGTGTAAGCAAACCAGCACTCCCCTTGTAGCTTTTTGATGAGAACATTCAGAATCATTTGCTATGAAGATTAAAATTAGCAATCTTAGCTACCTATGCTGGTCATAGATAATTTTAAGTTTCCCATAGGAAGAATAATATTTAAAGCAGTTAGACCCCTTTAACAATTTTAATAAGGCAGTTAAAAAATGAACAGCGGTAGATGCAAGCACTTCATATTGATTCATCCATACCAAACTTACAATAACACAGTTAAAAATTAACATGGAACATAAAGTCCAGTGAAAGCATTCAATTACATGTATAACATGTGTGAACACCGATTAGTGATGAAACCTTATGCCCACAGAAGGTGCAGATTAACATGCGGTTGTTTCTTCGAGAGAGGCTTCACTCAATTGATGGTAACCGCTTCAGTGAACCACAGAAAACGAGAGTTCCTATAATGCAATAAACTCTGAATGCGGTATTTGGATCAACCTGGTGACCCGTAGCTAGTACATGTCTTGTGGTAGCAGAAGAAGCATTTTATGGCCATGATTTGAAAATAATATTGTTTAGCAGTAGCTTAGCAGAAGTAAGTGATGTTTTAGACATGTACCTGTATGCCCCCACCATAATAAAATAATATCATAAAATACTATTCAAATGTTTCCTCTGTGTGAAAGTCAATCACTATACAAGGAGTTTTATTTCTCACTGATAAGGCGCAAGTCACTTTTTGTCATATAGGTAGGAAGCATCACTTACCTTTTGATCAAAATTCTTTTAGTTTGACCTAACATTGAAGAGATTGGCTTCAAGTGATAATCTTACCTGTATTACCATTAGTTACTGGTTTCAGACTACCTGGACATTTCCCAACATTTCTCAAATAAAGCTTTCCACAAGCTTCTAAAGTTTGCACTGAAAAGATTCATCAAAACTTTGAAGCAAATAGGGGAAAGTTCTAATCGTAGATTAACACAATTATGTAACCACAATGGAGGTGGTCATTCGATTAACATCAGGTCCCACTTCCTTCCCCCTCAACCTGCCCCTGTCCTCCCCATCTTTAATTGGATTGTAGTATTTGGCTTGTTTTAACTTATTTATGTTTTGTTATATTTATATTTATCATTCATGATTATGAGCCACCCAGAATTACCTTGTGGTTAGAAAGGTGGCCAAAGAAAGAGAACGAAAAAAAAAAGAAAGATTATTACTTCCTCCCAGAACTTGTAACATTTGCTTAAAGAGTCATTATTGGATTCTATCAAAAATGAAACTATTCTGCATAAGATACAATGAAATAACTGTCTTCTTGGCAATAGTACTCTTGCAAATATCTAAAGTTGGTCAAGTTAACTATTTATGGAGATTTTCAGTCATGGTTGTCCAAAAGGTGCTTTGGCAACTGGACTTTCTTTTTTTTCTTTGAGGATGTTTGCTTTTCATCTAAGAAGCTTCTTCAGCTCTGGCTGGATGGTGGGGAATGGAATCTAGTCAGAACTGAGGAAGCTTCTTGGATGAGAAGAGAAGCTTCTCCAAAGAAAAACAAGAAAATCTGGTTGCTTCTTGAGAAAGCACCTTTGGATTGGCCAAGTTAGATTATATATATATTGATGCTTTCTTCATTTGCTATTTTCACTTTTGTTGATTTTATCTCTTTATTTCAGGATGGAGAGACTCCATTGGACATGGCAAGAAGATTAAAGTTCCTCAACATAGAACATATATTAAAGAAGGATTCCTAGATCGCTGCATCAGACATTGTCAGAAAAGCTTCAACCCATGGGGCCAATTCATTGTGATAAATGTAATTCCTTTTACAATTTCAAGTGACATCAAGCAGCCAATAAGCTTATGCAAAAGAAAACCATGGGTATCATGGGTGATGAATTCAAAATGATAGTGGTTAATTTTGTAAGCATCCAAATATTATTTTTATTTTCATGATTGTTTTCTTGCTAAAGTGCAAAGTTTGCAAGAGTATAAGTCAGTGTTTTTCAAACCTGCCAACTTTAAGATGTGTGGACTTCAATTCCCAGAATTCCCCAGCTAGTTGAAATCTGCACAGTGGTTATGAATTTGAAAATCATTGAGACAGTATAGGTCATATTATTGATTTCATTGGTATTACATTGTGCTATTTATATGTGTTGTAATCCAAAACAGATTTAGCAATAAAGATCTCTTGTAAATTGACTTTTGGTCTGCCAGAAGGTATGTGTCTATTTTGTTTTGAATATATAGAATAGTAATAGAACAAGGAGACAATGCGTTTTCACTCCTGGGAGTTGCCAACTTCACATGGGAATGGAGACAGATCAGCCACTCCCCACTAATTCCTTTTACCTTTGTTATTTATTTTTTGAGCAGAATGACACAATCTCTTTAAATGTTGAAGAATACTCAAAGGCATTCAAATAAACCTTGTTGAGATTTTCCTGCTTTGTCTTAGTTCTACTCTTTATTGCCAATTTATCTCCTATTTCATTTCCTCACTGTTAGTTTTTTATTCTTCTCATTTTACAGACTGCTTTTCTAAGACTTTCTGGTTGTGGACGTTAATAAAGAAATGGACACATTATATTAAGACAGGGAGAGATCCAAAAAGTATTCATGTTAGGCAGTGAAGTTGCACAGCAACAATTTTTTGCTGGTGTATCACTTTCTCCATCTGCAGCTCCATCTCTGTCTTCGTTTCTTTACAGGGTGGTATGCATTAAAAATGGAAATCCTTTAAGTATTAAACAAAACTGTGAAAACCATAGTTAAACTCAGAATAAAACCACCCAAAACTAATAAGTACAATGACCAAAAGCCAGTCTAACAACATGAGCCTTTATAATTCTTTCAAAGACCCCTAAGAGGCTAGACTTTGATTTTCTGGTGGTTTCTCTTTCTAATATAGCTTGCCCAGAGTAGTTTTGGAATCAGGGTCTTCTAAATCTCATCAGTCGATCAATGAAAGCTACAAGAAAACCCTTCCTGAATTTAGGGTAACAAAATTAGAAGGCTCATTAGAGGTTGTTGACAGATGTCTGGGAACTCTTCTGATTCTTTTAATGAACACAGAGGTAACACAAAGGAAAAAAATCACCTCCGTATTTTATATTTTACCCAGAAGCATATCAGCCAACTATGATAAGTTCTTAAGCTGATATACTTAAGAACAAACACAACACAGTCTCCATTAACTGATCAACAACCAATCTCGCTGCTGCATCTTGAATTAACTGAACTGTCCAAGGTATGTATTGTAATAGTTACATTACCACTTTGCACAATAGTGTTTAGTGTCCTTGACTTACAACTTCAATTGAGACCAAAATTTCTGTTGTTAAGTGAGACATTTGTTAAGTGAAGTTTGCTCCATTTTATGAACTTTCTTGCCGCAGTTGTCAAGTGAATCATTGAAGTTGTTAAATCCGAACAACATCCCCAAAAAATCTAATTAAAAATGCAATCTGGGTTTAGCATAGCCTTTGCATTAGACATACCAATCTTTAAATATTAAGAGTGCAATATTTTATATACAACCAAGCAAGGCATGTAATAATAGACACAATTTCTATAGAAAGCTTCACTACTCAATAGTATAGTATCTATACTGATTGTGTATGAGAATTTAATTTGTTTCTCAAGTGTAGAGTAATAAGATAAAGAATTCAGAGGAGATGGGAACAGTTTGAAGAAGTGATTTGTTAATGTAAATGCTATTTGGAGAAATAGTGTTAAGTCAAGTTGCAAATATTTATTCAACTAATTAATCAATTCAGCTGCATTAAGACTTCAAGGTGTGTTTTTAAATTGTCATCATACAACATGCTTTCTATGTACATCATTGCTGAGGAATCATGGATATCTTTTCATTATCTCAATGATACGCATGTACATAACCTCAGTTGCATCAAGTCCCCAAATGTAATCTAGATGTTGCCATTCAGGAACATGTTGGTGATATATGACATTACTAAGTCGTGCTATTAATGCCTCGACATCTGTTATGTTCGCAAATAAGTCGTTTCCACCAGACCAGAGTGCAACAGGTATTTTTATATCTTCTATCTTGTATACAGGAGGAGTCATCTGGGAAGAAAAGCAACAAATCTGAATAATTAGTCAAAAACTGAAGGAAGACATTGCAAATTGCCACTTTAAAAACAGTTGGTGAGCAAGCAGACTAATAGGAATTCAGTGCAAACACTAAATCTGTGATGAAAGTGAAGGGTATGTGTGTGTGTGGATTATATGTTTTTTTTTAATTCTGATGTTTCTCTTCAATACATAGCTGATTAGTTCAGAGGCCCAGAAAGGAAGAACATTCTGCCATTGGTCCAAAAGAGAACATACTGTTAGGAATATAAGTCACCTAACAGGTATTTGGGTTAGAAATATATAAACCAGGATAAACATTTTAGTACTATGTCTTTAAGAGATTGCAAAAAATGCAATTGGGTGTGGTTTCTCAAACAGCCATAAGATGGAGCCAGAAACCTGGTTTGTTTAGTCTGAGTCTCAGAAGAGAGTGTAAGTGTATCTCTGTTTCCTTCTGTTGGAAAATATTGCCGTTGCTCCATTTCTTCTAATTGACTGATATTACTGGATTTAATGTAAGTCTGATACTGAACTGTTTTTGACACTGGAATTTGATATTTGGATTTTCCCTGGATTGAAAACTGACTGATTTTACCTGTGAATGACTTTGGACTGCCTATTTTGGACTTTGCTTAAACCTTTCTGGAAGTAAAAACCTACATTTACTGTACAGTGTATCTGTGTGCTCTGTGTGTATTATTCAAACACTTCTCTCAAATATGTCTCCCTGTATGCACTCATTCTCCTAAAGGGGAATTACCTCAACACATACTAGCTTAAATTAGTCATTTGATGCAATTGCAGTTGTAAAGGTACAGTGATGGTACAGTGGTTAAAGTGCAGAATCGTAGGCAAACTCTACCCACAGCCTGAAGTTTGAACCTGATGGGGCTCAAGGATGACTCAGAGTTCCATCTTTCTGAAGTTGGTAAAACAAAGACCCAGATTGTTGTGGGCAATGTGAAAATAATGCTTCCATGTTTTCAACCACCCAGAGAGTCTGTAAAGCCCTTTAGCATGGTATATAAATCTAAATTGTCATGGCCAGAAGGGCTTTTGTGCAACTGCCAGTTGTGCATCAGGTTGTGCACCTTTCCTGGACCAATGGTCCCTACTCACAGTTACTCATGCCCTAGTCACTTCCCATCTTGATTATTGCAATGTGCTCTCCATGGGGCTGCCTTTGAAGAACATTCGGTAGATTCAGTTGGTGCAAAATGCAGTGGCTTGCATGGTTTTGTGCAGACCCTGGTGTGCACATGTTTCACCTCTCCTGCGGGAGCTGCATTGCTTGCCAATTTGCTTCTGGATGCAATTCAAGGTGCTGGTTGTCACCTTTAAAGCCCTTCATGGCTTGGGACCAAGTTATCTGAGGGACCGTCTCTTGCAGGTTACATCTCCCCAACCCATTAGAGCGAGGAAGCAGGGAATGTTGCGGGTCCCATCCCTGAGGGAGATACACCTGGTGGGACCCAGAAGAAGGGTCTTCTCCATGGTGTCTCCCTCTCTCTGGAATACCATTCCCCCAGAGATTAAAATGGCCCCCTCTATTCCAGAAGGCACTGAAGACTTGGTTCTGCTAGAGGGCCTGGGGAACCCAGAGTGGGATGGAGCCCATTAAACAGCTTGTGTGATCTACTGTCATTGGGGCTGGGGTTGGGAGTTGGGGGATAATTTTGTTTATTTATTTATTTTCAGATTTTGTTCTATTGTACTTTATTAATTTATTTGATTCTTTTTGTTAGTTTTATTGTTTTTTTTAAAATTTAAATATGGTTTTATATTCTGTAAGCTGCCTCGAGTCGCCATGGGCAAATAGATGGAAATATAAATTAAATAAATAAATGCTATTGTCAGTGTTCCAGCAAACCTCCGTTCTATCCAATAACTCTGAGACAACCCTATCTCAAAAATACCTTTATTAGGATAGTAACTGGCACATCTGTGGAATCCCAAATCTGAAAATTTCCAGGCTTCCTACAATTTCCCAAACTACAAATCCATGCCCCCTGGGCCGTCATCACATCACATGGCTCAATCATGATCTGTCCAAAAGTAAGATCCTTATTTCATCCTGCGCCATATTCAATGACCTTGAGCTAACACAAGAATTTTATTTTGTCTACTTAGAGCTACTCAACTGAATCTACCCCCTCCCACTTTCTCAGGCTTGTTGCAGCGTGGAAGCATCGAATCTCAGTATGGCTTCCAAAGCTGACAGCTATTTCTATTTCCATTGCTAAATGGCTTGGCTAGGCAGTGTTTAATTTAGGTGTGGACTGTCTTCAGATCAGGAAGGGCAAGAAATATTTTTCTACACTTACAATCACTTTGATGACACTTTTCTTACTTTGCTCAACCTCAGCCTGAAAAATTTGAAACAAGGTACACAACAAAATTCTACCCAGCTACAACACATCCAAGAGGGAAAGCATTCTGATCTAAAAGCTACAAAGGAGGAACAGCAAATGAATATTTCACAGGAAAACTGTTTTATTTTCATACCTGGTTATATTTCTCCATATTCTTTTTCTTAGTGCCATAGTCATATGCTTGAAACACCTTTACGTTATGGAGCTAAAATGAATAGTAATTACAAGAACTGAATAAAAGAATTACCAGTCATTTCGATAACATGACACCACTGCTATACAAGGTACATTGGCTTCCAGATGCAACTCAGGATGCTGGGTGTCTCCTTTAAAATTCTTCATGGTTTGGGACTGAGTTATCTATGGGACCTTCTCTCCCCAGTGGTCTCTATTCATCCCATATAGCAGGAGGGCTGCTCTGGGAGTAGTGGTCTTCAGCAGGTTCTGACCAGTTCTGGAGAACCGGTAGCAGAAATTTTGAGTAGTTCACAGAACCGGCAAATACCACCTCTGACTGGCCCCACCCCGATCTATTCTCTGCCTCCTAAGTCCCAGCTGATCAGCTGGGTCTTCTTTTGTTGTCCTGCACAGGAGAATGGAGCTGGAAAGCAGGTTAGTGGGGTGGGGAGAGAATGGGGATTTTACAGTATCCTTCCCCTGCCACACCCACCAAGCAGTGATGGGATTCAGCCAGTTCGCACCACTTTGGGAGAACCGATTGTTAACTTTCTGAGCAATTTGGTGAACTGGTTGTTGAAAGAAATCATTAGGGCAGAGAACTAGTTGTTAAATTATTTGAATCCCACCACTGCCACCAAGCCACACCCACAGAACCGTTAGTAAAAAAAATTGAATCCCACCACTGTGCTCTGGATACCATCAGCTGTGGGCTGGATTGGTCCCATCCATGGTGATCTTTTGCAAGACCTTTAAAACTTGGCTTGGTGTCTAAGACTGAAGTTCTGGGTGAGTGACATACTTCTATATATGTCATTAGCTCTCATTTGTACATAACCCAGAACAGGTTTATTTTAAAATACTATATAAATAATAATGTGTAATGAAATTGAACCATTGTAAGCAACCAATATAGCAAGCCCGTTCTTAACTACAGTTCCTCTTTAAACCAGGACAGTCTTAACCTGGAGACTTGTGATATAAATGATAAAGATTGCAGCATAAACAGAAAAGTTGTATGCTAACATCATATGCTGAATGAGCTCAGTGTAATTCTAGATATTACAAGCCTCAGATTATTAGCCCCCAAAGAGGCAGTTTTGGGTAATGTCACAAACCTTACAATTCTAGGTTGCCTTCTCTGTCCTAGTGCTCTTCTTCTTAACCAGATTTTTTACTTTAAATTAAATTTTTAATTTAAAAAAACCTTTAAACCTTAAATGCCTCTGTGGATTGTATAGTTTTAGGTATTCAATTTGTTTTCCCATTTCTGTCATGAGATGATCATGAATGGTTCACCTTAGGTATAATTTTATTGTAACAAGGGAATTTATCGATCATATACTTAAATATATTTGCTTGATGGGTTGTCTTTAATTTACGATAGTCACTGGTGCTTGAAATGTTTAATAAATTCACACATCGCTCTACTGCATCCAGAATTAGTAAGAAGAAACCCATATATACTATAATGATTAACAGATCTCTTTTATGTATGGTTAGAACTGAATTGAATCTATGGTACAAAACCTACCTGTTTCCAATGAAGAATATTTTGTGCCGATGTCCCAGCAGGACAATGTGCTATGTACATGTCTATACGAGACTGAAATAAAACAATTATTCATCATAATTCCTGAATTATTTTCATCTACCATGTAACAAAAATTCAGTAAAGGCTGGTTGTAAATGTGTGGGTCTATTTACATTCACAAATAGACTTAATACAATTGATGAACATCCCCAATCCAGGATACTTTCTCGTAATGTGCAGTGCAGTAGATTTAATTTTCATAATTCATCTGGAGTTAACTTATTCCTTTGCTATATAGTTACTTTGTACATTTTGAAGTTGAGTGCACATACATCATTTTTTTTTTGCATGACTAGAGCCATTTGTTATCCTACAACTAACCGGAAAGATAAAGGACCAGCTCAGAATGCAATTTATGTGCTTTGTATTTTTAGTTTTCAAACAATTGTCATTTTAGTTTGCTGAGTTTTTAATACAAGCCATTAGTTTTTGGAAAAATCATGGTGCCTTATTCTTCAGTTTTATTGGCATGGCATTTGCTAAAAACAACTTGGAAAGTTCTCAGTTCCAGTATAATGAATACAGTTACACCTTGTGTCCTAAAACTTTTGCACAAAGTTGGTTCTTTCTTCTAGGAAATCTTGAAATGCAAAGGTTAATAGTAAATCTCAACTTTGCCTTCTTTAAAAATTTTTTTAAAAAGACTTTAATCTAAGGGTTAGCAAACCTTCTTTTTTTATAAATGGCCAGATTCTATCCCCTTCCCTTTGCCTCCATGTTAGCGGCTAGCAGGTTACATCGGGCATTGGACAATGTTGGCTTGGCAAGGGATGAACAGATAGGCCACTGCCACCCAGAATTTTCTACTCTTATATCTCTTATATCCCTTGGCTTTGCTCCAAGCTCTAGAAGCTCACCTGAGTCTTGGGCTTTCTGATCTGCTGCCCACCCGCTCATCCATGCTTAGCTCAAAGGCCATATAAAAGCAAGTGAGGTTTGGCTTGTGGGCCATATTTTGCCTTAACCTAAGAAAAAGTGTTATTTTGCAACTGGCATTACATATTTAATAGAAACCAAGCCTGACCCAGTTTTCTTTTATACATACCATGTTGACATTGGGAGTATTAGAACCAGCTATAAAAGACATAACTAGTTCGCAGAATTTAGGTTGGAAATTACAAAACAGAGCGCTTAGTTTTCTGATGAAAGTAGGAGCGCTGAAAATTCTTCTGCAGCAATACAGTGTCTGAAATATATTAATTAATTTATTCATTAATTAACTGGTACTGATCAAATATCACTCCAATCCCACCTCTGTTGTCAACCCTAGCCTTCTCTCCTGCCATAAATTTAAACAGAAACTGCTTAGTTCAGGAATACACAAAGTGGTTCTTTGCACAGTACATGAGACTTGAAATTCCAAAAGGCGGATAAGAAAAAAAACACAAAAGTTGGTTTAATTTAGGCTATTTTTGATTAAAACTATATTCATGAAATATAGTTAATTTAATAATCTTCACATACCATATAATAAATTTAATGATTTTTTTTCCTTAAAACAAACTGGGGTCAGTTATGAAGTTTTTATTACTTTATTTTCTTATTTTATATGATTATTTTATTTTCTTATTTTTATTTTATTTTTATAACTTTCAGCCAACTCTGGTGGCTCCCAGTGGTTAAAAAAAAATCTTGTTAAAACCTATAAAACACAACCAGTGAAAATATAAAAACTGGTGCAACTCAGGTTAATGTCCCATTATCTAATCTTCTCTCAAAGCTGGGGGGGGGGGGGGGGGCAGGACTTTACAGCCTTATGGAAGGCTAAAAGAGTGACCCTTGAACTTTAGGCAGTGAAGCATTTCCTGGGACAGGTATTGCCCACTTCCTAGCTCCCCTCTAATAGCAGTGTTTAAAGGAAGGGACTCTAAGTGACCTGGCAGAAGGTAGGTTTATGAAGTGGTTATGAAGTGGAATGAAACAACCACTTTATAAATGCATGGCATAACAGGGGTGGTATTCAGCATGTTCTGACCTGTTCTGGAGAACTGGTAGCAGAAATTTTGAGTAGTTCAGAGAACCAGCAAATACCACCTCTGACTATTCTCCATCTATTCTCTGCCTCCCAGCTGATCGGCTGGGTCTTCTTTTGTTGCCCTGTACAGGAGAACAGAGCTGGAAAGCAGGTTAGTGGGATGGGAAGGGAAGGGAGATTTTACAGTAACTTTCCCTCAGGAGTGGGGAAGGAATGGGGATTTTGCGGTATCCTTCCCCTGCCATGCCCAACAAGCCACACCCAACAAGCCATGCCACACCCATCAAGCTATGCCCACAGAACTGGTAGTAATTGGCCATGCCCAATTCCTGCAACCATTCCTCATCGTATGTCTTAGGCTCCAGGATGACCATGAGCAAAGCCTCCTGATCCAGGAAAGGCTGCAGTTGGTGCATCAGACAAATCTGTGCAAAGCCCTCCCAACCAGGTTTTGGGAGCGGGGTGCTATTCATGCCTCCTTTTCTTAAAAATCAATATCAGAAGAGCCCTCCTTTTTAAGCTACACCTACTGATAGCTTTCATTACTTAGTGTACCTTTCTTTGGAATATGGCACTTGAATGGATTATACATCAACATAGGTACTTACCTGTAACAGTGGAGGATACACCCAGATTTTTAATACTGGAGTTGTAGCATATGTTAGTGTGGCTATAGGTCCCATTCCAAAAAAAACTTTGATTTTTTCAGCCAGTTCTGGCCAAGAAGAGAATGAGATGAAACCTGAAGAAAGTAAAGTTTTACGTTAAACAGCTACTGTATTGTTTTTCTTCCTCCTCCTGTATATCTGCAGGGTATATAGTAATTGTGCATTCCATACACAATGCATGGAAGAGATTGCATCTTCGGTTTGCCATCAAACAGCTGGACTGCATGAGGAGAGTGAGATACAGAAGAGTGAGAAATATCTATTTCCTGTTCGCATGTTCACAATGGGAGGATGCCTTACATGATTCAGGTGCCTTCATTGATCAACCAGAAGAAAATTGCTGAAACACAAGAATATCACTTCATGCTAAAATTATAGAATGACTATGTCAACAGCTTATAAAGAAAATCTGTATAAGATGTTTTACAGGTGGCATTTTCCCTCGACAAGAATAGCAAGAATGTTCAAGAATAAATCCGAAAAATGTTGGAAATGTCATCAGACACCTGGCTCACATTACCATATGTGGTGGACTTGTGCGGATGCTAAAAAATACTGGACTAAAATCTACATGTGGTTGGAAAAAAATGACAAAAAAACATATAGATTTGAAACCAGAGATATTTTTATTGGGAATTTTACCTGAAAAATATAGCAAAGATTTGAGGTACCTGATTGTAAATGTATTAACAGAGGCTAGGATTGTATTTGCTAAAAACTGGAAAAATGAGAAAATACCATCGCAGGAGGAAATCATTAAGAAAATATTGGAATGTGCTGAAATGAGTAGATTGACATTTGAAATTAGAGAACAAGAGGATAAACAATTTTATAAAATTTGGGACCTTTTCTATCAATGGTTAGATAATAAAATACAGTAATGAAATATGTAGATTTTTAGAAAATAATAAATATATAAAGATGTACTTCTTTCTTATTATATCTACGAAATGATTTTAGGATAGATTTGGGATGATAATATGAACTGTTATAAAATAAACTAAGTAAATTATGGTTATCTCGTAAAATACGAATGAATAAAACTATAGTCAAATGACTGATTAATAATGATACTAGGATATTTAGTTTTTGATTGATAGTGTGAGCTTTTATGTAATGTAACTGTAATTGAAGACTATGAAATGGATGCACAAAACGATTTGTAAACCAACCGGCACACTGTTTGTATATCTATGGAAGATAGTTTAATGTTTTTATGTTTTGTTTGTTTGTGTTTGTTTTTAAAAACCAATAAAATTTACAAAAAAAAAAAGAATATCCCTTCATGCTAGAACACATTGTTTACATGCAAAAGTCGCAGGCAGGGGTGTGTTTCTACCGGTTCTGTCCACCTCTGCAGAATCGGTAGCTCTGAAGAGCAGCAGTTCTATGTCTTCTGATGTTTTTGCCCACCTGCCCACCCAGGCTCTTACCTGATCTTTGTTTCCTGATTTTTCAACTTCAGCTGCCAAATGAGGCACAGCTGCAGTTAAAAAAAAACAAGAAAAGAGAGCTGTTTTAAAGGCTGCTTCTTGGCACAGCAGCGTGCTAATGACGATTAACAGGTGCGGGGCTCACAGCGGGCAGGGAAGCTCATAAATCCCAAACTGGTACTTAACCCTGTCATATCCCACCCCTGGTCCTAGTTTATCTTTGTGTAGATTTTGGAAAGGCTAATTGCTGAAAATTCTTAAGAGGAAGGGCTGGGTTAGATGAGCCAAGCATTTGAAAGTGGCTCATGATAAATAGGAATTCAGAAGTTGATTTGTTCAATTCTTCCTGACTTGGCCTCCTCCATCAACTATTTGCCAGGAGAGATGTATCGTCTAATTGTATATTGCAAGATGCACAATTGCAATGCATGGACTGTAGTAATTTCACCCATTCCTCCCTGCTCATAGATTTGCCAACTTACCAGCAGTTGTGCCTTCTGAGTGGCCCACATAATAAAGCTGCTGCTGTTTGGTTTTGTTCAGGATAAAGTTTATGACTGCTGGAATGTCATAGTATCCCATCTCATGAAAACTAGGAAGAAACAAAGTGAGCACATTACTTTATAAATGCCAGCCCACGTCATCTTGCTGAGAAAGTAGCTCAGCTGATCACATGGAAAGGATCACAGGGTAATAAGCCATAAAGATATTCGTGCAAGTGTAAGAAAGATTTTAGAAGAGGGAAATCAAGATAAGTTGGTTGGAAATCTTAGGAGAAGATAATAGGCTGCAAGACTACAGACCTTGTTGAACTAGTATTACCAGATTAATATTACCAGATTAATGCCCTCAGCCCAGGTCCTGGTTTAGATTAATATTGGAAATAGCCAGTTCACTGAGTAAGGCAATGTTTCAGACTTCCTTTAAAGCCAGGAAAAGCAAACATAAGACAAATGTTCTTCCTGCCCACTGGAAAATGAATAGCACTGGTTCCTTTGAAAGTGGCTTCCATCATTATATCTCTCCCAGATAATGTTAAATAGTAAAAAGTTAAAATGATAAAAAGAGCTGCAGTGGCACAGTGGTTATAGTGCAGTACTGCAGGCTACTTCTGCTGACTAGTGGCTGCCTGCAATTTGACAGTTTGAATCCCACCAGGCTCAAGGTTGACTCAGCCTTCCATCCTTCCAAGGTGGATAAAATGAGGACCCAGATTGTTGGGGGCAATATGCTGACTCTGTAAACCAGTGGTCACCAACTAGTAGGCCGCGAGGAAATTTTGGTGGGCCACAGAGAAATCTCACCCCCAGAGCATCCCCCCCAAAGCAATAAATCCAGACTGTGCAGAAACACAAGGCTGCACCACCCACATGGCCCATGGGAACTCTCCTCGCCCACCTCACTACTTACCTGGCAAACTTGCCTGTTAAATTGCTATTTTTCCTTTTTCCAACCATCAGCTGTTCTGCTGTGCTGGGAAATTTAGATTAGCTAGGAAGCAGGAAATGGTTGGATTTCTTGCTTTCTAGCTAGTCTTTAGATCTTTGGCTCTACTTTTGAGTACAGCCAAACCTCCCTTAGGACTGAAGGTTTGCTTGCAAGCAAATTCAGTGCAGACTCATGGCAAGTAAATTTGAGAGACTGAGCTAGTTGATGGCAGATAGATAGATCACTGAATGATTCTGTGAGCAACTCAATCTGCCTGCTTTGCCTGATTTTGGGTAAAAGTTACTCTTTTTTTAAATAAAAATTCAATATTTACAGCTGTAAATCACTTAGCGAGGGCTGTAAATATATTATATATTATTTCAAGGAGTAAATTGGAATAACCTTAGTAGAATGAAATCCTTTCATCCTGTTATATCTGGGAGGATGGTTCAAGAACGGAGGCAAGACTCAGACAGTAACTAAAGCTCTTTATTTGTGACTTCAGATCTGAGCAACTAAACCCAGCCACAGCAGCCCCTTTTATAGGGCTGGCTGAGGCTAGGCAGCCAATAAAGGCGATTTGAGTTTGCCGCTCTTGGCAGGGCCAATCGCGGCAGCCCGTTTACTGACCAATCGCATCAGTCTATGGCGACCAATCACGATCGGCTTTCAGCGGGCCAATCAGATTTTCAGGCTACGAGCCTGCTAGTCCAGAACACTCCTCCCGTCTCAGTTCCGTTTAAGGGGTGGAGTAATATAGTCTCGCAGGTAAGCAGGTCTTCGCACCTGTCTGCCTGACTTACGCACTTCCACTTGACCCTGTTCAAACCCGGGTTCAGATGGACTGCTTGCTGGATCAAGCGGGAACGGTGAACTGGTGTCATGGTCAGGGCTCTCCTCTGGTGCCTCCGGGGTGATGAAGTCCTCAGCCTCGCTGTTACTGTTCTGGCTCCCGGGGCTCGCTGAACCTGCCTGGATGCTGCTTCCTGGCGAAGTGTTCGACTGTCGAGTCTCAGTTGTAGCTGGTGAGTGTTGCCAACCATGGTGCGGTGATCTTGGTGATAGCTCGGAATAGACAGGTGTTGGTTCTAATTCTGAGTTCACTGCTTCCCCTCCCCCCCAGTGTCAAAGTTAGGGTCAGGGTTGGAAGATGTGGTTAGTCTGGAGCGCAGTTGGTCAATATGGCGTTTCCATGGTCTGCCATCAGTGGTGAGTAGATGGTAGGAGCAGGGGCCCGTAACTTGAGTTACCTGGGCAGGAATCCAAAGAAAATTTTTTTGTGAAGACAAGGTCTCCTACCTTGAAAACACGGTGCTTGCTGCTGGAACCCAGGGGCTTTTCTGGGGTGTAGGCAGGGTGCAAATGATCTAGAGGCAATCTGAGTTTCCTGGCCATCAGGAGTTCAGCTGGGCACTTGTTGGTCGTGCTGTTTGGTGTGATGTGTTGTAGGAGCAGCATTCTAGTGACTTTGTCGTGGATGTTGCCTTGATCCATTTTCTGTAGAGTTTTTTTGTAAACTGAACCATTCGTTTAGCCCAGCCATTCGCCACAGGATGAGCTGGCGATGTGAGTGCGTGTCGGATGCCCCGTTCCCCTAAATACTGTTCAAAGGCTAAGGCAGTAAATTGGGGCCCATTGTCAGAGACCAGGACATCTGGTAACCCGTGTGTGGTGAAGAGTCTGTTCAGTTTTTTAATGACCGCCTCCGTAGTGGTTGCTTTCATTTTATTGACCTCAAGCCAGTTTGAGTAGGCATCAACAGTTATTAAGACGGTGTGGCCTCTCGTAGGTCCCGCAAAGTCAATATGAATGCGAGACCAAGGACCCCTGGGTGTTTCCCATTCTGTTGGTGGGGCTTTAGGTGGAGCTGAGTGGTTTTCCTGGCATTTGTTACAAGAGGTGACCCAGGTTTCGATTTGTTTATCTATACCTGGCCACCAGGCGTAACTTCTTGCCTGTGCTTTCATGCGTACAATGCCTGGGTGTCCATCGTGTAGCATTTGCAAGACCCTTTTTTGTAACTTAGTTGGTACAACAACTCGGTCTCCCCACAAAACGCACCCTTTTTGTGAAAAAAGTTCAGTTTGTCTGTTTTTAAACGGCTTAAACATTTCCTTGGTGTCGTAATCTGGCCATCCCCTCTCCATCCAGCCAAGAACTCATGCCAAACAAGAGTCTCTTTTGGTTTCCAACGCGACGTCTTGTGCTGTTAGTGGAGGTGATGGCACTGTCTCTATTTGCAGTACAGGGAGTGTGGGAGCTGGGTCTTCCTGTGGCTTGGGTAGCGGTGAGCGGCTTAAGGCATCTGCATGGGGAATAGATTTCCCCGGGCGGTACTTTAATTGATAGTCGTAGGCAGTGAGAAATTCCGACCATCGCGTCATTCTGGGGGAGAGAATGTGTGGTTTGTCGCCCGCCAGGATCCCAAGTAGTGGCTTATGATCCGTTATAATAGAAAACGGTCTCCCATAAACATATTCATGAAAACGTTTTATTGCAGAGACAATAGCAAGGGCTTCCTTATCTAATTGGCTATAGGTTCTTTCTGTTTTTGATAGAATTCATGAAAAAAATGCAATTGGTGCTTCTGAGCCGTTTGGTAGGATGTGGCTCAGGATGGCCCCTACCCCAAATGGTGAGGCGTCACACGTGACAGTCAAAGGTAGTGTCTTGTTATACTGAATTAGTACTGCCTTTGAGGTAAGGAGGTCTTTTAGTTGCTGGAAGGCGTGTTCCTCCCAACGTCCCCAATTCCAAGATGCCCTTTTATCGAGTAGTCTATGAAGGGGCTCAGCAACAGTCGCCTTCTGGGGTAGGAAGATGTTATAAAAGTTAATAAGTTCCAGGAAGGCTTGGAGGTCGGTTTTGTTTTTAGGTCTTGGTGCGTTTTTGATAGCTGCCAATATTTTTTCTGTGGGGTGGATTCCCTGCTTGTCAAGAAGGTAGCCAAGAAACTCCACCCTTTCTGTGCAAAGCTGGCACTTTTCCTTCTTAACCTTGAGGCCAGTGTTTTTGAACCTCTGTAGGACCGTTCTGAGACGTTTTCCTAATTGGTTTTTTGTGGGTGCTGCTATTAATACGTCATCAAAATAGGGCACGACTCCTTTTATCCCTTGTAATAGTCTCTCCATCAGGCTTTGAAAGATGCCTGGGGCTACGCATACACCAAACTGGAGTCTGTTGCATTTGAATGCTCCACGATGTGTGACTATAGTTTGGGCTTCTGCAGTCTCAGGATCAACTGGTAGCTGTTGATACGCTTGGGCCAGATCTAATTTTGCGAATATTTTGCCACCCCCAAGTGAATGCAAGAGATGTTGAACAACTGGCACTGGGTAGGCGCACTGCTGTAGCACGTGATTGAGGGTGGCCTTGTAGTCACCGCAGATTCTTATGGACCCGTCAGGTTTTATGGGGGTGACGATTGGTGTCTCCCATCGGGCATGGTCAATAGGTTCTAACACGCCTTGCGCAATTAATTTGTCCAGTTGCTCGTCAATTTTGGATTTAAGAGCAAAGGGAACTCGGCGTGGCTTTAGACGAATGGGTGCTATGTCGGGGCGAAGATTAAATGAAATGGGGGACCCCTTGTACTTGCCTAGGCTTTCGTTGAACACTTCTCGGAAATCGTGGATGAGAGCCGCCTCTCAGTCATTGTCTTCAGTGTGATGGATCCCAGCCACTCCGATTCCTAATGGCGTGAACCACTGAAGACCCAATAGACTTGGCCGATCTTGGTCTACGACGGTGAGTGGTAGAATTGCCTTATGTCCCTTGAACGAGACCTGCACATGGCGGGTACCTGCGACTGGAATCCGGTTGCCTTGGTAGTCTTTTAGTATGATTCTCTGACTACTGAGGTCTTGGCATCGGATGTTGGGGACTAGCTGCTTGAGTGTTCTCCAGGATACCATGGATAGTGATGACCCAGAGTCGACTTCCATGTTGCACGGTTTGTTTTCAATCGTGACATCTACTCGGATCTTTTTAGCGTCAAGTGATGAAGCGTGGCCGATGATGATGGTTTGATGAGCCTCCTCTCGTCTGGGGGCGTTGTTAAACCTTTGGGGTCTGCTGTACCGGTTCCACTGGTTACTAGGACGGTCCCTCTGCATGGTGGCATTGCCATCGTTTCTCTTTGGGCTGCTCCCTCTCCGTCTGGGG